ATGATATAATATCATTGGATTCAAATTTAATTCCATCCATTACAGTAACCCACTTGTAACCTACTGTACAGCAGAGCGACATACACGACTTACCCGCCTTTTTTTATTTTGATAATAATATGATTTATAAAGACATGAAGTTCCTAAATATGTAAATATGTAAAATAACAATTTATATGATGAATTAAAATGAGGGTTCAAGTGGCACACACTCAATTGTAGCTTTGCGGAGGGGGAGGAGAGTTCATAAAAAGATTGATCAATATTTTTAAAGAAAAAACACAAATTACTGTAAAACAAATATTCTTTTTTTGCTTAAAATCTAAAAGGTTCATGCAAGAATCTATCTCTCAAATTTCTCGTGTATAGTCCCAACGTGCAGATTTTTTTCTTTTCTCGTAGCGCAAAGTCTAAATGTCTAATTATGAGAGTTTTTATTTAAGTGTGTTTGCCAACAAAATTACACTATATAAGTATAAAAAATAATATTTAATTATTATATATTATATTATATCATGTTATACTATCGTTATTAAAAATGTTGATTCAAAATTACCTCTCCTACTGTAGAACAGTGCGAATAGATAATAATTATTAAAATAAGAAAAAGTAATAGGAAAAAAATTACCTTAAAATTAATTTAAATATTTTGAAAATGCCTCATTATGTTAAGTATAAAATATATATCTAATACACGTGATACATATTGTAACATACTTATCAGGAATATGTAATTGTCTTAAATTTTCAATCCTTAGCTACAAAAGATCAACTTTTTATAAACGTTTAACTACGAAATTATTTAAAAATGTTGGTAATTTTGACGAATTTATTCATTTTTGTGAATTTGTGCTCATTTTTTTTTTAATTAAGTAAAACTTATGTTGAGTATCGTATTAATTGTTATGTTAATTGATCTAGCAAAGAATCATTATCGATAATAATTCTTAAAATATCTTATAATAATACTATAGTTATACTACCTATATATAATATTTATACCTTATAAATAGCTCAAACGAATCAAAATATTTTGATAATTATATCTTAAATCTCTAAGTCTATTAATTAAAAAAAAATATAGGGTATATCGATGAGGTGCGACATCACTGCTTGCAGCTGTATATAATAATAAATATCTAGGTAGATATTATACATAATTTATCCGGGATATTCTTACCATAATGAAAGGAAAACGCCACAAAATAAGACCTGAACATTTGAATAACTTGGAAAATATTTGTATTAGCAAAAACGAATCCCGGAATAAAAATCCCTCGATTACATTATTACTCACATGAAAACGATTTATGTAAATATTTTTTACAAATAGATATATTATATATTATACTTATTAATCAAAAAATTAAGATATATAATACATATATTATATATAGTAGCCTGAAATAAAATATTATGTTTTCAATAATATTTTGACGATAATGTATAAGATATAAGAACTTCAATTAATGTTCGATATAAATATTCAACTTCAATTTAATAACCAACTGTGATTATTATTTCATGTATACCATACCTACCTAATACGACGTGCACGGTAAGAGCCTATAATGTACCTACACAATATATTTTCACGTCTAAGTAAATTATAATTTATAGTACGTAACACAATATTTTACTTCAATTACTCCCGGCGATCTCGAATTGAATATAGTACTCATTGCAATCGGTGGCACGACATCGTTGTAAGTCCACTCTCCAGGGTTGTGTCCGGCGTGCACGAGTTTGGTCCCAAATTTCGGATCTTTTATGTTGCTTTTTGTCAAGGACCCGTTGGTGTCGCACATTTTATTTTTATTGCAGACTTGTAGAACGTAGATCTCGAAAACTTCCTTTTAACGCACAACTACCTGCTATTGATTGACAACCTTCGCGAATTCAACCAACGAATTTGTACAGTTTAAACTACGATTGCATTGCGAGTGTTGACGGACACAGAATGACTGATGACAAATTTTGATCGCAGCATAACTATATGCTCTATGTACAATGTGATTATCTCGTAGACATACAATGCGTAATATTGACCAATTTTTTTCAATTAATCTGACAATGTAATTAATATGAACTCGTACGATCGTTTTTTCCCGCAGTGTTTGGAAGCTTTTAATATTATACAATCGTACAATAATTATAATCTATTATATATGCGCATATTTATTATACTAAACAATATAATTCATAGTTAATTTGTTTTAGTCGTAAATGTATATATTATATATTCGTCGAACAATTAAATATCATATATATATATTATTAAAATACCCAAAAAAATGCTTAGTACTAAACTACTAACTTAAAATATTTTAATTTGGTCATGTTTAATCAGCTTCAAAAAAATATATGTGATTAGAAATAATAAACTATATTTTTTATTTTTATAAAATAATACTATTCCAATTTACTTGTATTTTTAATTTATGATATATTTATTAATTATGAATGGTGATAATTTGTTGATACTTATCTGCACCAAATACTAAGAGTATGGTTATATTTTGTCAAAAAGAAACAGCAAAGTAAATTCTTCAGCAGTTCAAAAAAATAGTACTTAGATGTAAATCTCATTTTTGCAAGGCTAGGCTAACTTAATTTTTGACTCTATAGTTCTATGTCCTACCTAGACAAAAACCCTAGTACAACCATGGCATTAATCAGTATAAATTATGATCGAAAAGCCAAAAAATGTAACATTATACATATGTAATATAGGTACATAAATGTCTGTACATATGTGGTTATAAAATCATATTATATAATTTATTTATATATTTTAATAATATTTTATTTTTGAATATTTAATGAATGATAGCTCACATTGATAGAAAAGAATGTCCAATAAGGATATCCAGTTATTACCAGCTGTATACTATGAAAGTATTATGATATAACCGTTAATTATTTATAATTAATTAATGAACATTGTAACTATATTATAACACAATAGTTTAACAGTAATCATTAAAAATAATTTAGATGACCTTAACAACCAATAATTATGATTAATTAAAATACTGATGATTATAGATATAATTATTATTGTTATGTACTATAACACTTTTTGATATACTTACATCAGTATTATCATAATTTATTGTTGTAATGTTAATATTAGTATTATATTGATCTTTTATATATTTATCTATAATCTACAAAGATCATATTTAAATAAACAAATACTGCATACAAAATACACACATCATAAAATATTAAACTAAAAGAGAATAAATAAAAATATTGTTTAATTAATTCACTTTTTGAATTATATTGGAATGATCAAATTCATAACATTGCTTAGGTATATATCTATGATTAATAACTACACAATAATTTAATGGTATGATAAAATTATGAAAAAAAAAAAAAACAATAAATCACGAAATACCGAATTGAAACAATAATAATACATGGATAATATAATAAGAACTATATAATATTTACTTCAATAAGAAGTTATTATATATATTAATCTTTTCAACTTAGTGTGGCATTTATGAGGAAACTACAAAATAAAAACTTTAACATCTGTACATTATTAATTTGTATTTTTTTTTAAGTGTATTTAACGTATAAATTACTTTTAAGCTTTTCCTGTAAGAGCAGTGGTTCGATCTGTACTGGTACCCTGTTCTTTCTCCAACTGACGACCAAGATACTCCCTAAAATTAATTTAAAAATACAAATATATAATACAATATTTAACATTTAACATAATTTAAAAAAAGTTATATTTTTATCTTTTTACTTATATTGTCACTCAGATAATTATTGGTATAAATTGTATTAAAAAAAGAAAAGGCGGGTAAGTCGTGGATGTCGCTCTGCTGTAAATTAGGTTACAAGTGGGTTACTGTAATGGATGGAATTAAATTTGAATCCAATGATATTATATCATTGTATACAAAAAAACGATTCTGAGCGAAGACGGTTTATCTGTCTATAATATGTTATAGATTATTAAAAATTTTCAAATCTTAGATTTAAAAAGAAAATTTTTTTATGAATTTCTAGTTTAAAATAATTTACGAATTTTAGTGATTTTTACGTATTTTGTCAAAATTCAAACTTTGAATGCTTATAAAAAAAAATTGTGACTATATATTTCTTTTATTTTTCAACTGATATTGTAACAATGTGTTTGAAGCCTTATATTAAATTTTCAAATCTTAAAATTAAAAAGAAAAACTTTTATGAATTTCTATCTAAGATAAATTGAACATTGCCGTAATTTTTACGTATTTAATCAAAATTTGAACTTTAAATGTTTATAAAAAAAAATTGTGACTATATATTTCTTTTATTTTTCAACTGATATTGTAACAATGTGTTTGAAGCCTTGTATTAAATTTTCAAATCTTRGATTTAAAAAGAAATTTTTTTATGAATTTCTAGCTTAAAATATTTTGTGATTTTTACGTATTTTGTCAAAATTCAAACTTTGAATGCTTATAAAAAAAAAATTGTGACTATGAATTTMTTTTATTTTTCAACTGCTATTGTAACAATATGTTAAGAGCCTTGTATTAAATTTTCAAGCTTTTCTGCYWAAMAAATACATTTTTATCGATATTAATTTWAAAAAAACTAATAATGATCGAAAATTTCTAATGCCTATGAATAGTTGAACTTAAGTTAAAAATTTTGAAAATTGCATGGTGAATAGAATATACTTATTTAAACATTTGGTGAAAATTTTATATATCTATAGTAATTTGTTTTAAAGTTACATCAAAAACCAAAATCGATTTTGTCAAAAAATTAGTGTGCGTAAAATTTCCTGTTTTTCCCTTAATTTTTAGTTTGTTTTTCTCGATTATTTAGAAAAGTATTAAAATTTTTTTTAATTTTGACCCTCCAAAGTACTAACTAGATTCACTTTCTGATCGAACGAGGAACTGAAGTAAAAAATCGAAGCATTTTTACTGCCCCAAAACGTGATGACAGACACAAAAAAAAAAAAAACATACATCATGTTAAAATCAATACATTCATCGCTCCGCTCAGAATCTAAAATAATTACCATAAAAAAGTATATAAGAAAATATATTTACAAGAAAAATGGTCTATAAATATATAATTAAAGATAATAATATTATATTTAATATGTAATATATGAATTCTTAAACATTTAAAAAAAAAATGTTTTTATTAATTATACTTACAACCTGTATTTACATAATAATACAACGAATAAATTGGAGGGGGATTTATTGGCATAAAAGGATACATATTGACACACACATTGACAACACCCCATAAACTCTTAAATGTATATAATTAAATCTACAAAATAAACTAGTTCAAAATTAATTATGCATTCAATGTTGGAAAATTGGTAATTCTACATTAATAAGTAATAACAATACATAAAACATGGCAAAAAATGATGTTTATCAGTTGGAAAGTTTTTTTATCCCAGCTAATCAATGTTAAGAGAATGTCAAAGTACTATTTATTTTCTCCCTTTCACTAATGCGCAACATGGTAAACTTGCGTTTGGCAGAAAGAACTTAATGTTGTTAGCTTTAGGAGAGTAAATTAACCTATTAGGTACTGAAGATAAGAACAATTATGAGAATAGTAAAAGAAAAAAATTGATTTAAAAATGCTCATATCACACTTTACATTGTTTACATAAGCTGAATAACATTATTGGGGTTAAGATTGAGCTTTTTGTTTTTGTTAGCATCTCCTTTATCTGCACATTATTTCATGAACACATGTGTTGTATATTGTTAATTTAATTTTTCATTCATTAAGAAATTTTTTTAAAACCTCAATTTTTTTAGCGTCACCACAACTATACAGTATACACAAATTGAAACTTCGTAAAAAAATACAGCAAATGTTTTAAAATTTTTCTAAAAGGTCAATTAATTCTATTACTAAAACAATATGAGCTTAGCTCTGCCAGTAGTAAATTTGCTATATTGCTCATGGAAAAAAGAAAAGAAATAACATTATCTTAATGACTACCGCCTGCCCTACACAGTGGATACACGGCTGTTTTTCTTATAGGGCTTATAGGACCGCTTTATTTTCGATATCATGCCTTTTGAATAAATTCATTTCAAAGTCAGTCTGTAGTCATATGGCATTTAGATAATGACAAGGTACGACAACTGACGCATAAAAATATTCTTATACCCTGATACTGAGTAGYCAAGATGTTGACATATAAGTATATATATATTATTTTTTTAAGAATCAAACTATGTAGTTTACAAATGTTATTAAATATAGTCATAGATATGTGGAATTAGTTCTATTAAGATCTTTATTATATAGACTTCTACTTTTTTTAAATGTATTAATGTATTTGTTTCAATACACCAAGTATTTAACGTCTTATAAGGTATCATCAAGTAATCGAAGAGGAAAACAAATTATTTATCAATAATTTTTCATTAGAAACCTTACCAATTGTGCACCATAAGTTTTTGTACAGCTAAAAGTGCTTCATAACGCACATTTGCATCGTCATGTGATAACAGTTGCATAACAAGTTGTTTTCCACCTAGCTGTTCAATTATACTGTGAAATATTAAATACAATTAAGTGAAATTAAATAAATAAATGTTTGCAGTTTATAAATGTTATACTCACTGTTTTCCACGTGGATAATGTCTTACATATTCACCAACATCAAAACTAGCAACACTTAAAACAAGTGGGTCTCTGCTTGTTTCCAACAAGTGGACTAAAATACGCAAAAGTTCATAATTTCTTTCATTTAAACGAGATGCGTTTTCTCGCCAGAATTGTGCTGATCTATGCACAGGACTCCATTCTAATCGGCCAGATTTTACTTCAGTTGCATACTCATCAAAGGAACTGTAAAATAATTATGTTTAAAACAAACTTAGAGGATTGTATTATATTATATAAAATTAAGATTTTTCCTAAGATACCTAAGATCTTGTACAGATGCTTGTAGACGTTCATTTAAA